TTTGGAGCTTCATTACGCGGTACAGCCCCAGAAGACGAAGGCAAATGCTGCTGGAACAAACCCACAAACCTCTGATGATCAAGTAAAATCTGACCATCAGATTCTTGCATCTGGTCAATCTTCCTCTTCATGTTTGTCGCATAGCTATGTGCGAGCTTATGCAACTGTTTATTCTCCTGCTTAAGCCCTCTAATCTCCTGTTTGAGACTCATCACTTCCGCCGCCAATGATTCAACTTGACGGGTTCGAGCAAATAGGCGTTGGGCCATATTAGACACAGAACCTGCACACTGCACACTGAGAGCCAAAGAATCCTTAACAGCCAACTCATCAGACCGTTTGGAAAGTAGTCTGTTATCTCTGGGAGTGACAAGGTTTCGGGCCACCACCGCAGCGGTCATATCATTCTTCACCACCGAATCCCCAACGGTAAGAGGACCATTAGGGGATATGAAGGATGGGCACCATATGTTATCTGGAGAAGACGGGACTACCTCTTCACCAAGGTTCAAATCAAAACGACGGTCGGAGGGTCCAGACATTTTCAAAGTGTTGAAGGAATAAGAGATCGGACAAATCAAGATCTTAGAAGTACAAGAGGGGAGTTTTCACAAGCGAAAATTCAAGTGTGCTTTGAAACGAACTGCATGCCTCTATAAAAATCAGCACTCGACGGGATTTCAGAGATCGAAGAGGTGAGCTCAGAATTCGAAGAGGCCATTCAAAAATCGAAGAGGCAAGCTCAGAAATCGGAGAAGCATCTTGCTTTTCCAGACGTGTCGGCACCCGTCACACGCAAACTCAGCTTTGCGGAAATCACGGGTAATTTGTCGAAGCGCCAATCCCAGATATCGAAGAGGCGCCAGTCTTTTTCAGCCGCGTCATCACCTGTCATATGCACACTCAACTTTGCGCAAATCACGGGCAATTTGTCGAAGATTTCGGTGAAGGAGAAAGCACGTGAAGTTTACTGTTCAATCACGCGTTAGTTGCCAACACGAGTGAAAGAATAGTACCTCTACAGGTATTAAGGGACCTTCTATAACTGTCCACCTTCACCTTCCATAGCAAGGCAGACACACAGAGTTTTTCTTCATCTCCAAAAATGTTTTCCCAACGAAGCCTCTCGAGTCATTCAGTGTTCCTTATTCCTTGGGGTACCTCTGCAAGCCAATGACTCCAAAGCAAAAGTATCTCATATCACCAGGGTAGAAAGCAAGAGTATCTCATATCATGTGTTCTCCCTGTCCTTTCCTTTGTCCTTGTTCTTACCTACAAAGACAAGGATAAAGAAAACAATATGCCGGAACTTCCACTCAAACTCGGGTAAGGAATCGACTGCTTGGAACCCTTCCTTGATTGCCTACCTAGCACTGCTCTCGAGTACTCGCCTTCCACTGCTGCTATACTTTCAAAGAAGCTGCCACATCTGCTTGGAGGACAGATAAGGCAAGTGAAAATGATACCTTGCAGCATGTGGAGACAAGGTGCAGAAGGAACAAGCAGAGAAGAATGCGGTCTGCACGATCAACTCAGCAGAAGGAGTCCGAACTGAGGAACTCGAGAAGCTGCCACATCTGCCTAAAGAAACAAGCAGAGAAGAATGCAGCATGCACAGTTAACTCAGCAGAAAGAGTCTGAGATGAAGAACTCGAGAAGATGCTGCATCTGCCTGAGGACGGTGAACTCGTTTTGACCCTCAAATTCTTGGGTCGACTTACTAGGCGTTGTGGGCTGCACGTGCCGATTCACCACCCTTGAATCAAATCCTTAAAGACCAAGTCACCAATTGGAAGAGGAGCCCATCAATCTCGAAGATCATACCGTTGACCAAACTACTCAGGTGTGAATTAGAAAGATTGAACAAAGCAACAAGTCGTCACCTTCACCTCGTGCCTGCTTGCCGTGTGTTCGAGTCAACCTTCAAGAATCAAGCCTCAGCGGCCCTTGAAGAAGCTTCCAGCCAAATTCAAAATCAAGCCTCGACGGCCCTGGAAGAAATCACAAGTCCGATTCAAGATTAAGTGTCTCCCACCCTTGAATCAAAACCTAGTTCAAGAATAAGTTGTGGAAAATCAACAATTGGAGGAATCTAGAAAATCCTTCAACCCAGTTCAAGATCAAAACTGTGGAAAGTCAACAAAGCGCAACAAAATACGTGTCGATTCACCCACTACCAAAGCCAAAGATCATCTACCACATGAAGCTCCTTGTGGTCCAATTTCAACCTTCAAGATCAAGCCTCGACGGCCCTTGAAGAAATTTCAAACAACAATTCAAGATCAAGCCTCAACGGCCCTTGAAGAAATCTCAAGCCCAATTCAAGATCAAGCCTCGACGGCCCTTGGATCGACATCTACAGTAAGGGACTTCAAAACGCATCTCCTACACGTGACAAGCACATGTATACGACGTGCCTTGAAGTGGGGATTTGTAGACATCGAAATTTAAATAAATGTTGACCGATAAATTCAACGCTCATGTATTTTTTTACACGTAGCGTATGACTCAACGAAAATTGAAATGAGTTGGAAAAGTCATCAAATAGGACACGTGTCCAACCTGGCAGATAACGACTTATTTCAAAATCTGGCATTATAAAATTCTAAAATAGGCATTGGAATTTCATATAAATACAAGGAACCCAATTCATTCCATTCAACACCTTGAAGCTCTGAAGCTCTGAAACTCCGAAGCTCTCAAGCGTCAAGCGTCCAGAAAGTGTTCTTCGTTCTTCGTTCATCGTTCTTCCAAGATCAAGCCCCAACGGCCCTTTGGATCAACAATCATCCACCAATTCAAGATCAAGCCCCGACGGCCCTTGAAGAAAGTGTTCTTCGTTCTTCGTTCATCGTTCTTCCAAGATCAAGCCTCGACGGCCCTTGGATCAACAATCATCCACCTTCAAGATCAAGCCCCGACGGCCCTTAAAGAAAAGCGTTCTTCGTTCTTCGTTCAGTCTTTTGTCCAAGATCAAGCCCTTTGGCCCTTGAAAACAATCCATCCACCAATTCAAGATCAACCCCGACGGCCCTTGAAAGAAAGCACCCGTTCTTCACGTTTCGTTCCAAGATCAAGCCCGACGGCCCTTGGATCAACCATTCCAATTCAAGATCAACCCCGATCGTTCAATCATCCGTTCCAAGATCAAGCCCCATTCAACAATCGTTCTTCAAGATCAAGCCCAAAAGCCCTTGAAGAATCCGTTCATCCTGTTCTTCAAGATCAAGCCCAAACAAGCCCGTTCTTCAAGATCAATAAATCCAAATCTCAAACGTCCAATAAGAACGGGAACGTTTGCAAATCCAAATCGTTTCACCAAATTTAGATCAAGATTCAAATCCAACCCTTCCCCAAACGGAAGCAAGCGTTCATCACCTTCAAGATCAAGGGCCCTTTGAAAACGATCAAATCACACATCCACAAATACGCACTTTACGGAGATCGAATCAGAGGATCAAAATTTGAGAGAGATTGTAACCCGAAATCATCAAAATACAAATATTTGTTTGTGCACGTTTGTTCTTGTCTCTTTCGTTTTCAGGAATTTTCCGTGTTCACAATATTTTCCAAACTTTAGCTAATTACGCAAAATTACGAGAATTTTTTTTTTTAGTTTTTAATGCTACGAGAAACAAACGTCTCGGATTGAATGAAAAACATCTAATGGTTATGATTAATGATTAATCTATCTAATACTATGTGGTATGAAAGTGGTATCCAAATATACAACGAATCATCATTAATTAAGTGATATCTAAATTCTAAAGTCCCTTTCACAACTGCAATACTTTTGAAGGTTTAATTTTCTTTCTTTGAACTCATCAAGAAAAAGAACATCGAAAGTATGACTCATGAAAGGTTCTAGTCACTGCAGGCTAGCTGTAGTCCCACTCAAAATCATTGCTTCAGACAAAATAGGTGTCGGCTCAATCTGATAAATTATCTAAAAGTTAAACATCTGTAAAATAAAAAAAGAAAAATATGTAATCACATAAGTGAACTTATTGGTGTATACATGTTTTACGATGTTCTTATACATATCTTGTTTTTGTTACAATTAAACAAAATTTCTGCTAAGAAGTTGTTCCTATGCGTATAACGTATCCATACAGGTCATTTTAACATGTGATTAGGTTAATCATAATCAACACCCACTTTCTAGTTCTTTATATGTATGTGATACGTCCTAATGTTTGTCGATGCATGCATGTTTTGTTTAGAAATGAGATATATACCTTATCAATGTTATCAAGTAATTCCAAATGCATGCATATATATATAAAATGCATACAGCTACGTAATTCGAAGATGCTTCCATCGTCTCAATGAAAGAAAAGAACAAATAAACGATTTAAGTTTAGAAAAAGAGACATGATTTAGTGCCCCGATTAGTGATTACGATTTGATACATATTTTATTCCAAGTCCAAAGAAGAAACAGTTCTCTTTACTTTTAGCTAACAAATAAAGTTAGATATATATATTCTTCATTGCTCATGAGATAAAATTTTAGTTGAGACGGATATATGTCATTATTTTTTGAGATATCCCGGTCTAGATTTATTATTAAGGAGGTTTGTTTGGACTCTCACTTTTAGCCCTATTTTTAACAAACAACAAATCAATTAAAAGCAACCTCGCTAGGGTGAGATTCTCTTAATGGCGAAAAACACTTTTCTAGAGAAGAACCTGTCATTTACGTTTCAGGAAGCACTTCCGTGTGTTTTTCTTAAGAAACTATTTGGAATTTTTCTAAATTCTTTTACTTTTCTCAAATAAAAGCAACAGTCACAAACTGTTTTTTTTAATTTTTAATTTTCATTTGGGCAACAGTCGCAAACTTTTATCGGTTGGAGTGCTTTTGTATAAAATAACGATCATAAGCGGGCCTTAGCGAGTCAAAGCCCAATAACTCATATCAGGCCCAATCCAAATTAGTGATCCATGAGACCAATAAAGTCATCGCCAAAACGTATAAAATGCTCAGTGGATATCAGGCGCGATGAAATTTGAGAGAGCAGAAATGCTGAGACGAAAGCCAACCAAGATCGAACTCAAAATCGAAGACAAAGACGAACTCGAAAAAGCTCGCAAGCAGCGCGCCGCCGCCACCTCCATCACCACAACCACCGCCGCCACTACTCTTCTCCACCACGTCGACCGCGCCAAAGACCCCTCCTCCAAAACGCACCGTATCGGCCTTCCTCAGTAATCGAATTTCGAACGCCTCCAAATATCTTTATGTCTCAAATCCCCAAAGCTCTGATGGAAGTGGAGGTCAAGCTCCGGCTCCTGGACGCCGCCGCCCACCGCCAAGTCACCACCCTCCTGGCGCCATTCCTCGTCGCCACACACCGCCAGGAGAATCTCTTCTTCGACGGCTCCAAAGCCGAGCTCGCGGCGCGCCGGGCCGTCCTCCGGCTACGATTCTCCGACAGGAGCCCTCTCTGTGCCGTGACGCTCAAGGCGCGGGCAGTGCTGGTCCAAGGCGTCAGCCGAGTTGAGGAGGACGAGGAGGAGCTCGACCATTCGATCGGGCGGGCCTGCGCTGCCGAGCCAGAGAAGCTGATGACGGCGGAGTCTAGGGTTCTGAGGAGGGTGAGAGAGGAATTTGGGGTTTTAGGGTTTGTGGGATTGGGAGGGTTCAGGAATGTGAGGGATGTGTATGATTGGAAAGGCTTGAAATTGGAGGTGGATGAGACTAAGTATGATTTTGGTACTTGTTATGAGATTGAGTGTGAGAGTGCTGACCCTGAAGGAGTCAAGGTGGTGCTTGAGGACTTGTTGAAGGAAAATGGGGTTCGGTATTCTTACTCAGAAGTATCAAAGTTTGCAATTTTTCGAGCTGGGAAGCTGCCCGTTACCGAGTGAATGGGGTAAGTTTTGTGATTGAATTGTATTTGGAAATTTCTGTTCTTTCCTGATTGAATGCTTTTTTAAGTTAACTTACAATGTGGGTTTATGAGGAAATCTGATTGCAATAGATTTGAATTTGGTGAATTTGTGGTAGAATCATGTGTGTATGTTTGTTATTGTGATGGCATGGATTTGTAAGTGATTCAAGTTTGTGTCGATTCTACGTCTTTAAAATCCTGATATTGCCTTCTTTTCCTATCAGTTAAGTAAAGATCAAGTTAGTGCACCGTTAGTTTCTCCGCTTTAATTCGGGTATGATCATTTCATTGTTGGAGTCTTTAAGTTTTCTGTTTCTGTCAACGGGCCCTTACATCCTGCACATCTCCGTTGCTGGACTCTTCAGTTTCAGTGAACCTAGCATTGTTTGTTTCAAAGATCCTTGGACACAATGTCGGTGAGAAGAACCTGTAACCCTCTAATAAAATCAACAAATGACCACTGACTGTTCTCGGGTCAAGCTTTCTTTCTGCTGGGTTATACATTTTGGCACGAGCCTTGCAGCCCCATACATGAAGGTAGTCCAATCATTTATCCTACAAGTCCATAGCTCAAATGGAGTTTTGTTTACTGATTTACTTGGCACTCGGTTTGATATATAGATGGCCATCTTGAGTGCCTCTTCCCACAAGAACATTGGAAGACTTGTTCTACTCATCATGCACCTAACCATTTCTTTCATTGTCCTATTCTTCTCTCGGCCACCCCATTTTGTTGTAGTGTTCCAGGAGTAGTATATTGAGCTTAAATCCCATTTTTGCCATTGGACCCTTTTGTTGCCCTTTCTCGTAAACCTGCCATAATACTCTCCACCACGGTCTGACTTCCAAGGTTTTAATTGACATTTCTAGTTGTTTTTCCACTTCATGTTTAAAAGTTTTAAAACAACCAAACACTTGACGTTTCTCGGATATAAGGTAAACAAAAGCATACTGTGAAAAATCATCGATAAAAGTCACAAATAGGCATTTTTGCAAATTGTCTGTGTAGGGAAATGACCATAAACGCCTGAGTGTATGAATTCCAAAAGCTTTTGACAATGTGTTTTCTTTATGTTTGTCAATTTCCCTTTCCAACAATCATTACAATCTTGCAGGTCATTAAAATTCAACTTTGTCAATGTGTTTTCTTTTAACAAGAGGTTCTAGTCTCTTTTTGTTAGTGTGTCCAAGCCTCCTATGCCAAAACATGGAGGATTGTTCATTCGTTAATGAACTTTTAAGTGGCAAAACCGACTCCACTGACAGACAATTAGGATTTAACACAACATTATATTTAAACCTCCAAAGATCATTATTTAACAAACAAATACCAAGCAAATGATTGGGATTATTTTTCTTGAAAATTCTTGCACTTTCATCAACAATGATAAAAGTGTAACCGGTCCTTACAAACTAGGAAGTGAAATTGAATTTCTTGTTAAAGAACGATAATTCTAAAACAAATTAAGTTGACAACTTGAGCTTGAGGGTGCCTATTGCCTCAACAGCCACCTTGTTATCAATTCTTGAGGGATTCACATGAAGGACATTTACAAGAAATGAAGTCTATCATGTTGCACTGAACAACCAATGTCAAACCACTAAGAATTTTGAGGGACCTTCGCAAGATTAATTTCAACAGAAACAAAAGTATTTTCAATTTTATTACGCCTTTTAGTTACCGATTAAGATTCTGAATATATACGATTAAATTAAAAGGTTTACATATTACATAAAACTAGCTGTAAAAGAAAATGTAGCTTCTCAGTTTTACTTCAATAATGATATAAAAGTCACTGCACATGTTAATCTATATAATAGAAAGTGAGAGCCCTAATTTGGGGTCACTCATGCAACAAAAACTTTGGGGTCACGCATTTGACAAAAGATTAGGATAAAATTGCCCCTCAACCAAAAAAATCCAAAAGCAGCCCAATATAATATATCAAATCATGTAGGAGTAATTTGGTAATTTGGTCATCATAAAATATAATATAAATATAAGTGGAAAGAGAGAAAAGAATAAAAAAATGGAACGGTGAGTGAAAGTTGATGGTACCCACGTGAAGGGGAAAGAAAAATATAATAAAAAATTAGAAAAATCATGAATATTGTGTTCAAAACATCTTAAGAGGCGCGCAGTGCTGATGATAAATTAATAAAGTTTTTTTTTTAAATTAGTACCTTACAATAGGTTAGTAATAATGTGATTCAATCAGTTGTTTATTAAATATTATTTTCTTTATAAAAAAAAGGTATTTCGCACGCGAATAATAATGTAATTAAATTAATTGTCAAATGATTGTTTTTTTTAACAAATGATATTATCTAAGGGTGGGCAAACGGGTACTAGACCCGCGGGGCGAGGCGGGTACATGCAGTTCGGGGCGGGTACGAGGCAGGTCTTAAAATTGAAAAACACAAACAGGGCGGGTTCAAGAAATTAACGGGGCGCGGGGGGGGGGGTCCAAAAGGCCCAAGAAATAGGGCCCCGATCGGACCCGTTTCACCCAAGCCCGCTCAATTTTCCGATCCAAAAGTCCAAGTACTGCGTTGGTTTTGTGCAGTACACTAGTACTTGTACTACATTTCACTTACTCTTTTTTTCACTCTTTCTTTCTTTATTTTTGTTTTATTTTTTTCACTCATTTCACTTTCTTTTTTTCGTTTTTTTTCTTCACTTAGACCCTCTTCTTCTCTATCCCAAGAGACCCACGATCCCCAAACTCCATTAAGGACAAGAAGATTGAGGACTCAATCGAGAGACCGCCATCCAGTGGTTGGGCAACAACTAGTTGTCGGATGCCGATGAGTTCGAAGACAAGATGGAGTTGGAGAGCATCTGCAACCCAAGCACAAGGTGAAATTATTTAGGTTTTGTGAACTTGAAATTTTATGTTTTATCTGGGACTTGAAATTATAGATCAATACCTCTCTTTTTTTACAAGGGAATTGATTGAAATTGCTTAGATTTAAAAACCCTAAGGTATTCCCTTTCTTTTATTCTTTGAATTCATAGCCGATGAGAAGGCAAATAGGATTTGTGGGTTTGTATGAAAGAGTTATGTGAAAACCCTAATTTGCCTTGAGAGTGCAGATCTTACGGTGGTTGTTTTGATGGAACTGTTGATAATGATGTTGTTCAAAGAAGCGAATCTTCAAATAAGGAGAACGAAGAGGAAGAGGAAAGACCACCAAACTTGAGGTGTGAGTGAAAGATTTGGACCCGTGGGGACCCGTAGGAACCGGCCCGTTTCAAAAGGGCCGGGTTAGGTCCGGATCATATTTTGAAAATTCCAAAACGCGCCCCACCCCGCCCCGTTGTATTTACGAATGGGTCCGGTCCTGTTCCTTCAATTTTGGGCCCGGCCCGGCCCGTGCCCATCCCTAATATTATCTACACTAAGGGGGAGGGGGTGGGCTTAGCCTCATAATGAGCTAGCAATAATGTGATTCAATCAATTATTTATTAAATATTATTTTCTCTATTCTTAATGTAAATTCTATAGAAACCGATTTTATTATGTGAATTCAGCTGTTTTAATTGGTTTATGAGGGGTTTCTTCTAGCATGATCTAACATTATTCATTTACTTCAAATATTTGACTTTTCTTTTGTCAATTTATGCATATAAATACTCTAAAAAATGTCAGTTATAAAAAAGTCTCTCGCACGCGCATAATAATGTGATTCAATTAGTTGTCTAATGATCTTTTTTTTAACAAATGATGTTATCTACACTAAGAGGAGGGAGTGGGCTTAGCCTCACAATGGGCTAGTAATCAGTTGTTTATTAAATATTATTTTTTCTAATCTTAATGTAAATTCAATAAAATGTAGATGAAAATTGAAAGATAGCTTTTATTAATATGGATTCAACGGCTTCGAATAGTTAAAAGATCGCTTTTATTAAATGTATTTATTATTCATTTTCATCTACATTAATAAATACATTTAAAACATGTAAATCGCACGTAACATGTCGTGATTCAAAAAATGTCTTCTGCACTCGCGTGAGCACGTGCATGGAGGCTAGTCTTATATATAAGGCCAAAGCCCCAATTTGGGGTCACGGTTTCAACAAAAAAAAGGCCAAAATGCCCCTCAGCCAAAAAAATCAAAAGTAAAAAAAAAGAATGCATAAAATAATACGAGGGTAATTTTGTAATTTTAATAGTGCTTTTTTTAATAATTAATTTTTTGGTGCAGTTTTTATTTTATTTTTAATAATTAGTACCTCACAATAGGTTAGCAACAATGTGATTCAATTTCTCTTTTTTTAAACACGTTCAAAACAACTTAAAAGGCATGTAATTCCAGTTATAAAAAGGTCTTTCGCACATGGATAACGAACTTAGCCTCATAATGGGCTAGCAATAATGTGATTCAATCAATTGTTTATTAAATATTATTTTCTCTATTCTTAATGTAAATTCTATAGAAACTAATTTTATTATGTGAATTCAGCTGTTTTAATTGGTTTATGAGGGGTTTCTTCTAACATGATCTAAAATGATTCATTTACTTCAAATATTTGACTTTCCTTTTGTCAATTTACGCATATAAATACATTTAAAACGTGTAAATCACGCGTAGCACACGCGTGCATGAAGGCTAGTTTACATATAAATAGAGTTTTTTAGAGAGCATTTTCTTGAAAATTCATGGTTTGTTGCGAAATAAGAACGTTTAGAACACACACTATATAAACCGTTCACCGCAATAATCCAAACTTCAGCAAGACAAGTCAACTAACAATCTTCATCAATCAAAACTTCCAAAACCCTAAACTGTTCTCTCTCTTCGTTCTTCTTTTTCCCTTATCTTTGTGCAATGAAATGACGAGCTCCCAATTTATACAAACGCCACATCCCCCCTCATGTTAATTGCATGAAACAACTGTATGGCTCAAACTCTGGTGACACGCTCTTTATGTTTATTATGATTCTCCTACTGTGTAAGGTGTGTTAATTTGTGTGTTCAAATAATTATAACCGGTCGATATCAAGAGTGGAACTACACTATGGCTGCCTTGGGTCTGCACCACAAAGTAATATGACAGTTCAAAAATAAGTCTACTTTTGCTTAACATCCTCAAGTAATGGTAATGCTCACCATCCTATTTATCTTCGTCGGATGAATTTAAATTTCGAGATTTATATAGTAAATAGATACAAATCTCAAAATTTAAACTTAACCAACGATATTAAGTATAATGGTGAACATTATCATCACTTGAGGATGGTAAGGAAAAATACACCCCTTATATGATACAAACTAAGCCCCTTACAAAAAAAAATTGCGGAGCCTTCATTTTCTTGATTACTTTATATAAACTAGCCTAAGCCTTTTTTTTATTGGGTAAATTATAATTTGCACTTACAAATTTGGGTGCAATTGCACTCCCAACAATACAAAAACTTGTACTTTAATTATAATTTCATATATCTGTTAAATTAATTTTTAATGATGACGCGAAAAATATGAAGCCAACATTTTTGAAAAAAATGAATAACAAAATTGTTTAGAGCATCTCCAAAGAAGATGTCAAAATCCTAAGTGAAATGCCACTGTGCATATTTGACATCAAAAGTTTCTTCAACCGAAGTGTTATTTGCTGACTGGATTTAAAGGCTTAGTGATTTGATGTCAAATTTATTTTTAATTCATTTTAATAGTGAGTCCCTTATCACACTAACATTTCAACAAATAAAAATTTTGTTTCAACATTTTTTTAATAATTACAATCATTTAAAGTTTTATTTAAATAATAAAATAATATTTGACAATTCGGTTGGAGAAGTACAAATTTGACATAAGACTTCAAATTGTCACATCAATCATCAATTATAATTTGACATTTCCTTTGGAGATGGTCTTAGAATGTTTAACTTAAGAATAAATCTATTTAAAACAGAAAATAACTTTGTTATGCAAATTTTTTAAAGAGACGGTGGGCCCCACCCCTTCAACTATCCATCTTCCACTTCAACCTGCTTCCCCTCCGCACCCTGTGGGTGGTTGGGTGTGTGGAGAGTGGGAAGGCGAGTTGTTATTTGTTCACCTAAAGTTTGTTCTTTCTATGTGGCAACATTAATTAATTTTATGGAGCTCATATGAATGCCGCATCATCATACTATACTAACAGAGTTTTTAATAGAATTAGATGATAAAGACAACTTTGATGATTAAAACAAAGATAAAGAACCAGACTGATGAGTTTAAAGCATAAAAGGCCAAACTTATCAGTTGCCAAACATAAAAGATCACTTATAATTAAAAAAAAAAAAACTTAGATAGTATAGATATGCTACACGAGAGTAGTTACTAGTTACATTGGCTTGTGTAGACATACTCTCCGAGACTGCCTCAACGTAAACTTATTTACACATACATGGAGCCACTTCAACAAAAATAGAAACAAAGAGGCAGTGGCTGCCACCGTTGCCTCCTCAGGCGCAAACTACTGTGAGAGACATCTTCTGCCCTCTCGAGCAGTGGCCGGGAAAGGTGCACATGAAATGGAATGTGGTGGGGGTGAGAACTCGAAGAACGATAGTATACTTGGATGCAACTACGGGAACCGCCGTGGTGTTGCATACATTGTAATCATGCCTCTCCACCCATGCCCAGTTTTGTTTACCGTATTCAAACTTAAATACTGCACAAATAAGGATGTATCATATATATATGCAAACACTAAATGTAGAGGCTCAGTATCCTGATAGGACATGCGTACCTAGGATGTCGTTTACTTTGATGACTCTATGCTTTGATGCCCATGTTTTATAGTAGTTATCGTAGGGCGGTATGGTCCATCCACGTTGGTCTCCGACTATGTACGTAGCAGCTTTTGCTTCGTGTAACTGGAGCATCAGTATTAGTACTACCATCATAGTCATCGCACTCATCACATTCGTCATCGTGGTGTTTAGAAGACGGATTTGTGACATGTTTTGAACCATGGAAGATCAGCCTCGAATTATAGCACCGGAGAGGTTGGAGTCCTCACCGGATAACAGAGAAATGCATTTGCGTGCATGAGTTTTGTGATAGAACTGCCGTGTGTGTCTGCTCATTGCTCACACATTTTCTGTTTCTGTTTTTCCAACATCTAAGGCAAAAAGAAAACAATAAACGAAGTCGGAACAGAATGTCATGCTCTAGGCAGAAGGTAAAGCAACAGTTGGTGGAACGAAAGGCTGGTGATTGCGTTGTGTGTCTCTCTCTCTCGTCACGTGAATCACCTTTAATTCCACCAACATCCAGTGCAAGTCATGATGGACCCGCACCCAAGGGAAAAAAAGTGTGGAATAAACAGTTGGTTCCTTACAAGACGACGATCTCCCGGACAGCTCAAGAACCGGTTGGTTTCATCCAAGACAGCAAACAAAAGAACAATTTTATGAATCCCAACTTATATAAATTGATAAACGAGGTTTAACAACATACAACGATTCTCGACACTACATTAAAGAGGTCTACTGATTTTCATAAAGCGAACAATGCATCTCAAAGATGACCAATAACATTAGCAGTTCATTAAGAACAAGGAATGTAAATTCTACTCTGATCGAACCGACGAGCTAAATTCTGCCTCACTACTTCATAACTCCTGACTGAAACGGAAACAACACAATGGCAAAGGATGACAGGCGCCTCCTCTCACTTCCTCCTTTTGGCAGGTGGCTCTGAAATCTCGTCCTCCTCTTCTTCCTCTTCTTCTTCTCCATCCTCATCTTCATCATCATCATCATCACCATCATCATCGTCGTCATCTTCATCATCCTCTTCATCGCTGCCTCCGTCACCATTGGCTTCAGGGTCATCCTCAGGATCCCCTTCTTTATCTGCCCCCTCGTCACCTGAGAGGTCCTCATCTCCTGCATCATCACCCTCTGGGTCATCCACCTCCTCATCATCTCCATCCTCTTCATCATCCTCTGTATCGCTAGCATCTTTGTTTTCCGCACCAGGTTTTTCCAGTTTCAGAATTTCTTCAAAAGGAAACCTAAGAAGGAAGCAACACTTACCAACGAGATTCTATTATGCCCTAAAAAACCAATGGTGCTGGTATACGATGAACAGAACATCAATTTCCTTACCTTCCAGTGACTGCAGTCAATTCTGGTGACGTATTGATATCATTCATCAGCGCCCCAGTCTGAAACAACATTAGCCAGCGTTGGTAAACAGCTTATGACAAATAACATCAGGCTTTTGTTTTACATATTAGAAACGCTATCCTAAGAAGACAGGGTTCAAAATGAATGTCAACTAATATTTTCATTGGTTGACCTAAACAATATACACAATACATATCACTGTTGATAAAAATGGATTCTAAAAAAGGCGTTTGAACATGCATCTCATAACGTTGCAGGCAATGGCCAGCAACGCAAAACAAGTTCTCAAAATATACCTTATATGCAATACCAAATCTAGTCGCAACAAAATAGGAATTCCAACACAAGGCCTACATCACTCAATTATATGAAAAATTTAACAAACTTAAGCCAGATATTCAAAACTAAAACTACCAAATATTCGGTCAATGCAAAATCCAATGCTACAGCCCAACTACAATTACATTCATACATTGTTAGGAAAAGCGGAGAGTGCAAATTTGTTATCTTAGAATGGTAATACCATATACGCAATGTCTGCGTAAATTTCGTTATGGGTTCTATTAAGTCATTTTCGTTACCTATAGTTCTAGGATTATATGCGGGAAAAGCAATTATGAGTATGCACAGCAAAGTTTATGAACTTACAGAAACCAGGGCATTAGAACCTCTATGGCAGACCGCAAACGTCAAGAAATTTGTAACCGTAAGTAACAGTACATCAAAACAATCCAGTTTCCACACGAATTTTTCAATAAGAAACAACAAACGAAACAACTTTTACACAAGGTTACATCTAAAGCAACAATGAAAGAGCGGATTCACAAGAAAACCCACATTCTTCAGCACCTGTTTAAAAGAAGTAGAAGTTTAAGACGACCAATAATTCACAAACAAAGAGTGAAAATTGTTTACAAACTTATGTCGAAATTTAAAACACCGACAAGCAGAAAAAGGTTGTACTCCACATCTACAAACTATCACCTTTAATGTATAAACCAAAGCAAAGAGTTTTCCTCCCCAAACAAACCTAATTCACAAAATTACCAAATTTCATCCCTTAAATTTATCCAAAAAATAATAATTAACTTTTCAAATTTCAAAACCATGGTAAAAGCAAGAAAAAACCCAAACTTCTGAAATATTAGTTCAGTAATAAGCTGCACATTAATGAGATCTCAAGCTGTAAAAAGTTGAAAACACAACAAAAGCATGAAAATTTTAACACTTCAATTCAACCCATGTCATAATTTTCCACACAAACTGAGAGAGAGAGAGAGAGAGAGAGAGAGAGAGAGAGAGAGAGAGAGATGTATACCGCAAGGAGCAGCAGAGCAAGGGAGTTGGGAGCAGCAAGGACAGTGTTGACCACCATTGCTTCCAAAAAAGAGCCAAGCCACATGCCCTTTTTCTCAGAGGCGCACAACTCCATCTTCTTCGCTGCAAAAAAAATCTCAAAAATACACTGAAAAAGTAGACAAAAAAATCAGAGCAAAAATTGCACAAACAGAGAGAGAGAGAGAGAGAGTGCGTGTGTGTGAGGAGAGAGAGAGAGAGTGTGTGTGGGGAGAGAGGGAGGGAGGGAGGGAGGGAGGGTGAATTTGAAGGGTGTTTGCGGCAGAATGTCTGGTCTACTGCCACCATGGTACATATATATATGCTGACTAATTGCTCATTAGGTATTTTTAGGGTCAATGTGGTAAATTTAGCATTGACTAATTGGCTACTAGGGATGGTCGTGGAAGTAGTGAAAAGTGAAAACTATTTTTAAATTCAATTCTCGTCAAAAATTGAATTTGAACTAAATTATTGTTAACTCATTATAAAGTTAAATTCATCCCTCATTCTTTTATTATTTAATTTTTTTAATACAACAATTTATATGTGGATTTGAGCTAAGTCTCATTATAGACCAACCAAAATAATTGAAAATATTTTTGCTCACCACACTACAACGATGATGATGCTCATCATTTTATTAAATACTGTTTGATGAGTTTGATTTAACCTATTTACTACATAAATTTTAAAATTTAAATTAATTTAACAGTAATTAATAAGATGGTGGACATTACTAACGTTTTATATTGATGAGCAAAAATACACACAAAATAATTTGATATTAAACTTGTTATCCACGTTAATCGAGCTGAAGTCCTCTTACATGTAAATAATATCACTAGAACAGCAAAAAGACAATTTGAGCATGTCAAGAGGACGAAAAATTGTTGATGCCGACTTAAGATATCACTGGTTGCTTCCACAGTGCTGTTGATGCCAACGGAAGATGTGTCAGCGAAAAAGGAAAAAGAAAAATCACAAGCTGTGAGAATTTGCGCAGGGCAATTTTGTGTGTTGAATTGAAGGGCTTGAATGATGTGTAACCTCTTCTATTTATAGCAATGGCTCCCCCCAAGGTCGAGTTATAGACCTACTCGGACTAGGTTTTCTTCCCCTGATCAGCATCAACTCGACCAGTCCTACCTTCACTAGGACTGTGAACCTAGTCCTTAACTGAGCCAGATTCGCTTCCGGGTCCTGCCGAGACTCCTTATGGCACTAGGATTCGACCTCTTGTGTTACGACCTAGCCGACCTAGGTTTGGAGGCCCACGTACTGAACGATCAATGGTATTCTTGCCGCAAGGCCTTCCGGGCCGAGAATGACCCTACATTCGGCCCAAATTGTTATTTTGGGCCCAAACACCTATATGACGTTACAGTTGGTTACTGGGTACGAACATGACAATTTTCATATTTATACATTTGGGTAAGCATTCCATGTGCCAAGTTCGTCCGCCGCAACGTACCAATATGAGTCTTCAAATAAGGATATGTATCTTTTGTCGATCATGATTCTCCTTCACCTTCGCTCTCTTATAACCCTCGCACGCGATCTCTTTACCACTCATTTGTTGGTTGTCACTTTAACGAGACAGTCTTCCCGCCGTTAAGGGGAGATAAGAACGTCAACATTCGTGTAGAATGATGCAAATTTACGTGGACATTACCCACTATGTCTCATCTCGATCCCCGTACCGCACATGTATGATAAGTAAGTGCGATGAATTCTAACTTTCAGAATGTTGCTCTAAACGCATTCCTCTGATCTAGCTATAGTGACGAGATCATATACTAGCTGCAAACATGCCTGCAATGATAGACGTACTTAACAGACGTCGAGTCAACATCCCTGGAGGGTGTGCCGCCCTTGTTGGACGGTTTGGACGTCCCTGTTGGACAGGTCTGGTACACCGGTGGATAACTAATCAATCTGTCTTGGCCTGGAGGACGACAGATCATTCAGTTCGTAGGATTCACTTTCCTAGAAGATGAAGATACGACACAACAATGAATCTAAACTCTATTGTTGTCTCAAATCATTTTCATCTTATGAGATTAATCCAGATTACTCCCGAGACTTGAAGTTCTTGGTCCAGTATACTAGTTTGGATGAGCTAAATGGAATTGAAATAAGATTATCATCGATGATGTTTTCACTTATATGGTAGCTATCGACATAAATGAAAAGAGACGATATCGAACCGTGTTCTGTTGATTAAGTGACAACGTATAACTGATTGGACAACTGAAATTACAATCTAGGTCAAATTCCTTACCAAAGTGTGTATTGGACATGTCGTTCCTACTCTACCCAAGGTAACCCTGTTATGTTATAAGTGGGAAAGGAAACGTTATAAGATGAATGAAATAGTGCAATATGATGCACGCCTTACGGTGCAAGGTTTCTCTCAAACGTCATGTGATTGATAGCAACATTATGAAATGTGGTTAGTGTTTTCTCCATGGGGATATAGATACGGAGATTTACATGTAAGTTCCCGAAGAATTACATGGACTCGTTCAAATAGTTCCAAAACCACAGAACACTCTCTTAACTTGTTTGAGGCGTTCACTTACAATCCGACGGATGTGGTATACCAGTCTAAGTGATTATTTGATCAGTCAGAGATATGAATTATGCCCTTGCATGTTAAACTATGAAGTCTTATTCCAAATTGCTATAGTTACAGTTTATGTTGTTGACATACATCTCACTAAGACTCTAGAAGAGCTTGAGAACACTGCATCGCACCTGAAGATGAAATTTGAGATGAAGGATCTCGGAAAAACTTGTTTATGTTTTGACCTAAAGTTCAAGCGTTGTTATGATGTTATTTTGGTCTACCAATTGAACTATACCATGAATGTGTTACCTTTGAGTATACCTATGATCGTCCATATATTATACGCAAATGAGACCCTTGAAGAGGTTATAGAATCTGAAATTCCATATCTAAGTTCAACTTTACGCTTCGTTGTACTTAGCTCATTATATTTAGACAGGACATCTCATTCACTGTTGACCTTGGTAAAGATGCAGCACCGTGCCTACACCCATCAATTGAATTGGTATTAAAGATGTACCCTGAAGGTATTACATGGGCAAATCCCAACGCATCTCGAGCGGATCCAACCCTCTTGATCCTCGAAATGATGCTTGCCTTGTAGTTATACTGACGCAGGTTACTTATCAAACCCGCATAAGGCAAAATCCCCGAATAGTTATGTCTTTACCGTTAAGGGATATCGCAATATCTTGGATGTCCACGATATGACCTTAGTTGCGAAATCTTTTAATCGTTCCAAGACTTGCCTCACTTCACTACGCCACAAGTGAGACATGGTTAGGAATTCTTGTTGAGCATATTCGAAGTATTTGCTGTGTTTTTCATCCATCGTTGAGTCCAGATAACGATCCATGAAGACTATGTTGCATGTATTAACCAGACCAAGCCATGATACATCAACGAAGTCAACACCAAGGCATATTGCATCTACATCATATCAGCACAGTATCAGGAGATTGAAGTCATGCAAGCCGATCCCAGACAACCTTGCCGACCTCTACATGACGTCACTACCAAAGTCAACCTTCCAGAAGCTTGTTCGAGGAATTGGTATGCCTAACTATCCTATGCAATGTTTGTAGTTCTCATTTGGAAGTTATGTCAAATTCAGGGGGAGTATCTAGAAGTATACTCACTTGATCTTAATATACTCTTTTTCCCTATGATTAAGAGCATTTTTCCCACTGGGTTTTTGCTACTTAACTAGGTTTTAACAAGGCACCCATCCTAAGTTGATCATACCCTTGTGAGCTCTTTTACTTGCGTCCAAAAGATGTATAGTTTTGACTCAATGCAACTTCTCACTTTTCTCCTTAGATTATGGGTTTTTCTCCCACCTTGGGTTTTACCATATCCAGGTTTTGTGAGTTTTACCTTTTTATGCATTATTCCGTTGATATGAGACTCGCATTTGCTCATTGTGCCGACGACTTCATCAACTGTACTTGCTTCATCACTAAAGACCCGATGCGTCATTTACTTGAGTATTTTCACATTCAAATGGGAGTGTTGCAGTCCTATTAGATTAGAAATGTGATTGTGTAAATCCTAGTATATCTTAGAATATCTCTTATATTCTTATTAGGAGTAGATTACCTATTAAATGTTGTAATCCTAAAGGGAAATGTTTTTACCTATCTTACTACTATAAATAAAGGCACAATAGGGTGGAATAACACACACCCACAATTACATATCTCTCTTATTCTCTCTCTATGCCGCATTCTCTCCCTCTTTCTATGGCCTCCATAATTGTTTAGTAAATTATGCCTACAACAATTTAAAAGTTAGGGCAAAAATAAATTTAACAAATTATAGTATAACAGTTAGTGTACATTCTAAAGTGTGTGTTAAATTATTATTTTATTGTATAATGATCTTCACTAGTGTGGGTGCAAATTTTCGCCTTCTTCTTCTTGGACGAAAATGTACCTGCAAAACAATTAACATATTAGGTCAATGCCAAGAGCCTCACGCACCCACAATGAATTTTGGGGGGAGGGGTTTGGCCGAAGAACGTCTTATGCCAAAGTTAGAATTTGAGAGAGAAAGTATTTAGAGAAATTTAGAGAATTTTAGAAGAGAATTGAACTTAGGTTTTGGAGAAAATGAGTGGCTATATATAGGGGTGTGGCCGGCCCTATTATGAGAATTGAGATATGCCACAATTTGTTGATTTGTGGGACTGATTGCAAGATATTATGTAAAATAATATCTTGCAATTAGTTTGACAATTAATCAATTAATTAAGAAATTAATCAATTGATTTTGGCAATTAATCCTAATTTGAAAAGGATGATTAAGAGTTACCTTGTGGGTGATGATTTGATGAGGAGTGGTGAGAGGGTTTAAAAGAATACCATTTTGATCACATTTGACCTCGATTGAGCCGTTATTGTTCATTGCATGCGTATGGGAGTCCCGGCATGCCTCGAGGGTAATTTTGTCTTCTTAATCCAAAAGTCCACGTGTCGCATTCGTGATTTTCTTGATTATTTTTTGCTCCACAACTAGTAAAGTATTTAAGAAAAAATAATTTAAAGTTGTGAATTATGTACCCAACATTAAATAACAAAATCAACTCCATCTTTTGTTAAAAAATTTAACTTAATCTCTGATTGTTGTATAAAAAATGCTAGAAAGCAGTGAGTCAAATGACTCAGCTACCATGTAAATTATGACATCTTCCTTAAAAGAAATCG